CACCCACAGAGATAAATTATTTTAAATAAATAAAATAAAATTTGGTAAATATAAAATTTTTCGGCTGACTAAAATTGTTTTTACTACTGATTTTACTCAGTAACTATGATTAAATTTTTAACATTTATTATAGAAAATTTAAAAAAGAAATTTTTAATTTTAAAAAACTAAAAAATAAATAAAATTAAAAAAATAAGAAATCAATTGAGAAATATTAATACTTACTAATAACTAATAAGATTTATATTTACTAGTAAACATTCAAAATTTATTAATAAATTAATAATATTTATTCGCGAACTTATAATTTTTAAAAATGCTTCTATTTTTTAATTTTCTTTTATAAAAGTCAAAAATTAAAAAACAGGTAATAAAATTAGTAGTAAAATCAAATTTTGGTCAGCCAAAGTTTTTGAATTCATTAACTTATAAAATACGGAAGCACATTAAAGTTACTTTCGTCGCTTTTTCGAATATTATATTATTTCATTATATGATTTAATATTTTAATTTCACTAAAAAAATTTATTTACACTTTGCATTTATAAGAAACAAAAAAAAATTCAAAATGTATTTTTTTTACTTCAAATTCCTAATTTTTTTGTCTAGGTGTTTAGTTTAAAAATTGCCTCTAAAATAAACGGAAAAGAACGGAGCGTCATCAAGAGTGGGGACACTGCTCCCACTTCGCGCGCAAACCAATTGAAAAGAGAGGGGAAGTATAGAGACACTATTTTCGTTTATTTACAATTTTTTTACGATTCTCCTTTGATTTTATTTACACTCTCGAAAAAAATTGTTTTCTCTTCTTCTTTCATTTTATTTACACTTAATAAAATTTTTTTCCCTATTGATACAGAAAAAGGAAAAAAAATTTATCTATTAGGGAAAAAGAAAATCAAAACCGAAATTTTTTTTTGCAAAAAGAAAGCAAGTTCATTACAATTAAAAACGATTAAGTTCGGTCATTTTTTGCTTCTTTTTTTTTGTTTCGCTTTGTTGATTCTATCGTTAATTGTTGATGACGGATTAAAAGCAAAAAAAAAAAAAAAACTACCCGCAATATTGAGTATTGTCTATGATATAATAAACGAGTTGAAAATACGTTAAACGTGAGGGGAAAAAAAATTTCCATCAGTATATAACCTATATATATATATGTATATGTATGTATATAACTAAATGTGTTCTCGTAGTCGGTGTTTTGCTGGGTGTTTTGGTGTCGTGATGTTTGGTGTTTTTTTAATGTTGATTGGACGACTGCCGATTCAGCAGGCGTTCGTTTGCTCACGATTGTATACGAGATACTATGGCTCTCTCTCTCTCTCTCTCTCTCTCTCTCTCTCTCTCTCTCTCTCTCTCTCTCTCTTGAATTTGAAAATGTCGCCAGGCCACCCGATATCGGTGGTGAAAAAGTCGAAGGGCTAAAGGGGGGAGGGGAAGAGGGACGCATAGCAGTTAATAATAACCGGTGTCGACTAGCGTTTTTTGCCAATTTCAAATACACACTTCCCCTCCCCTCTTTTTTCCCCTTTCTATCCTCCTTTTTCTCATTCTCCAACGAAATAAGTCCCGATATATATACACATCCCTTTCGACAAAAACAATATACAATTTACAAAAATTTCACTAAAAAAAAAAAATTTTAAAACGAAACTCGATATATTCACTTTTTTGTCATTCGAGATATCACTATATATATATATATATATGTATTTTCATTTGAATTTCAAATTGTTGCCTAATTACCAAAATCCCATCCTCTCCCTCTTATACTATTATTTAACTCTTTGAAAATTTATTGCATCGATGTTTAAAATTACAATGTTTTATTCAATTAGAGTTTCGCGCGTCATCTCATTTTCATAAATAATTGTCCAAAAATTTTATTAAATAATCGATATTGATGAAATTCGCTTTTGAATGTAATTTATTATTATTATTACTATTATTATTAATAATTATTTGATTTTATCACTCGGTCGTTTTAGATAATTTAAAAAAAAATTAGTAGGTAAAAATAATATTAAGGGCTCTTTCGGTTTATAAATAAATAAATAAATAAATAATTAAAATAAAATATAATAAAAATTAAATTGATAATATATAATTAAAAATAATTTAAAATTAATTACTATTATTATGATTATAAATAATTGTTTCTAATTTGTTTTAAACAATTTTTTGTGAAATAAAAAAAAAGTAATTTTCTCTTTTTTATTTAATATTTATAAAATAGTTTCCTGTTATATTGGAAAAACAAATGGAGAGCAAGCAGAAAAATGATGAATTTATGAGAGGAGGATATCATTTAAAAATAGTTTATTACTTTTTCTCATAATGAATGTATAAAAACAATTGTATAATTCGGATTATCATAAAGTTTTTCCACAAATTAATTCATGAGTGATGAGTCAATATTTATATTTTCATGGCTTATGAATGGCTGTGACCTGATTTTATAAATATGAGAATATATATAGGAGAAGTAAATTTTTCTTTAATAAATCAAGAATTTTAAGTCGCTTTTGAACATAAATTGTGATAATTGTCTTTATATCTGTTTTTATTTCTCTTTATTTTTATAATTTTCTTTATATTCAGTAACGATTTCTGTACTTATTTATTCTTGTGATATTAATTTCTGACTTATATTTATCATTTTTTTTTGCAAAAATTACTATTCAATTATAATTAATTAAAGATAGTATTAAATTAATTTGCATACAAATTTTTTATATTTATTTAACAGGTATAATTTTTAAATTATCTTTAACGTTAACAATTTCAAAATTAATAATTAAATTAATATTTAATTAATTAATGAATATGTAAATTCTTTACATTTGTTTATTTAACTATTTATGTTAATAATTTTCAAATTATTCTTGTATTTAAAAGCAAAATTATGAGAAAACCAATCTAACAATATTTTTTTCTTAATAATTTATAGAATCTGCGTGCGCAGCGATCGAAGAGTGGGGGTGGCGTCTCTACCCCCACTCCTCAAACAAAGACGAGTGCAGAATTTTTTTAAAAACCTAAACTCACTGGATTCTCATTTTTAAACAAATATTTTATTTTGTCAGCTCATTCAATGTATAAATTAATAAAGAATAAAATAATTTTCAGTTAATATAAAATTATAAATTAAGCAAGTTTAAGAAATTTATAAATAAACAAATATTTTATTTTCTAAACTCGTTCAATGTATAAATTAATAAAAAGTAAAATAATTTTCAGTTAATATAAATTAATCAAGTTAAAAAAATTTATAAATATGTAATTATAATTATTTATAATTATTCCTAATTATTTATAAATTTTTTAAACTTCTTTATTTAACAATTTATGTTAATAATTTACAAATTCTCTTTGTGTTTATAAAATATTATGTTTAAAAATATTCTTCTCCTTCAACGAATTAATTCGTTTATTTAATATTTAAATTTTTTATTTACTAAATTCACTAATTTTCATAAAACTTTGCAAATAATTGTCAAAAAGTTAATGATTATATATTTGCAATAAAATCCTCTGCTTTCTCTAAGATTTTTTTTCTAAATTTCTTTTTTTAATTCATTATAAAATTTTGAATTAATTAATGAAAAAAATAACGAAATTCATTCAAGGAGTGGGGATAACATCTCTATCCCCACTCCTCACACATGATCGCGTGCAGATTTTTCTAGAAATCTAATTCTTTTAATGTTATTAATATTTTATTTTAATATTTTAATATTTATTTAATATTTCACTTGATTGGAATTTTATTTTAATACAGTATTTTATTTTCAAAGCTCGTTAACTATTTAAATTCATAAATAAAATTTAACCAATTAATTGAAGTACTAATTCATTAAACTTACAAAAAATTTGTAATAATTTCTATAAATAATTGACAAAAAAAGTTCATAAATCTTTTTCGCTGAAAAATTTTTTACTTCGATCAATAATTTTCTTTTATTAATTAATTCAAGTAAAATTTGGTTGTTAATTAGATAATTAATTGGTAAAACTAATTATCTAATTTATTAGTTTCAATAATTAATTAATCTAACAGTAGAATTCATAATTAATTATAGAAAAAGGAAACTAAAAATAAGATTCGATAAATCTGCGCGTGCGCAATACTTCTTGAGTGGGGATGGTGTGATTGCCCCCCACTCCTCACACACAGCCGCGCATAGATTTTTCCAAAAAAACTATCCTCACTACTACGGACTCTCATTTTAATAAAATATTTCTTTTTCTTCGCCTGCTCACTGTTTTAATAAATAAATAGAAAAAAAAATATTGACAATTTTGAAATTAACAAATAAATCCAAATATAATGAAAAAAAAAATGAAGAGGGAGGGAGGAAGGAATTAACACTTTTTAAACAAGTAAATAAATGTTTTTTGGGAAAAAACAGTTTTTCTAATTAAAAATAGTAATAATAATAATAATTCCAATTGAAACCATTTGGTAGTAAAGTTTATGTTAATTACCCTTGCAGAGTGCAAAAAAATAATAATAATAAAAATAGTGATAAATAGTAATAATAATAAAATAATAATAATAATGAGATGATAATATAATAGAATGGTAATGAAAACGATAATGAAGATTATAAATTATAATATAGAAATAATTATGAAAATGATGATGAAAATTTTTTTGTCAAAATAATGACGAAAATATATTTGAGTAAAAATGCTAATGAAAAAATTGAATAGTAAAAAAAGAAAAAAAAAGAGAAAAGAGAACGCGTGATGGGTTCGGCCGTTGTCCAAAATTGCCCTTACCCTGTTACCACAGCTAGTTATTATTCTTGTAGTGCATATGTAGTTATTGTCAATGTATATGTGTGTGATAGAGCTGCATAGTGAATACAGACATGGCATTTATGGTAGGCAACTAGAGCATACAGATAGTGTCACTGAGGTGGTGCAGGGGGTGGCGCAGTCAGTGCCGATATAGTGTGAAAGTGAACATAGCCTCTGTGTGTTAATTTCAGCAGCGGTGAGCCCGCCTCGTATGTGGTGGACAGTGCTGGCTGCATGTTCACGCCAAGGTACGTGAACGTCTCGTACATACAGTCTAATATCATAAATGTTTCATTCTGTCAGGGCAAGGACGTTTGGATCTCTTGGGTATACATACCGTTTCATCCCCCATATTATAATACATAAATTATCAATCGCTCGTGCACCATCGATAGTAATTGAGTTTCGATTCTCAAAGAGTATTATATACGCAGTTATATAACTATATGCATAACTATATACTATATATACATGCATAGCATATATATAATTATAGAAATATTATATTTATACATATTTTTTTACTTCCTCATGGAGGAAGCTTTTTATTTTCATAATAAGTTTTTACAATCTTAATAAAATTTTTTTTAATTTAATTTAATTTTATTTAAAAAAAATATCTACTCTTTAAATCTGAATTAGTAGTTTACTACGAAAAATTTGTAAAAACTACTAATTACTAGTTAATTACTAATTTATAGTTACTAATTTAATAAATAAACTAATTTCATTATAGTAGAAAATTACTAATTCAGATTTAGAGAGTGTATTTATAAAAAATAATATAATTAATAAATATATATATATGTGTGTGAGTATATATATTATATAGTTATATACATAAATGGTTTCAGAGTAATTGCCTATAAAGTTTATAATCTACTGTATATAATAATAATATAAAAAAAGGGGAAAAATTTTCATCCTCAAATTACTTTACATTTTATGTGGATTTATAAATTAATTTTATCAATAACTCTCTTTTTATTTCTCTTTTATGTTCGCTTTTATTATTTCAAAACAAAGTTTTAGAATAGATAAAAAAAATGTAATAAAAAAATAAATTAAAAGTAAATAAAAAGTGAATAAAAAGTAAACGTATATAATCAATGACGGAAAAATTTTATAATATATAGCGAAATAATTATAAATATAGAAAAAAGAGGAAAAAAAAGAATATTTATAATTAATTTTACTAATTCTTTTATTTTATTATTAATAATTATATTAATAATTATATTAATAATTAATATTATATTAATTATTATCTATAATTAACCTTTCACTCTTCAATTAACTTTTTATTTATAATAAACGATATTTGAATTTATATTCAGAGAATATTTTTCATCCTCCAGCGAATTAATTTGTTTATTTAATATTTAGATGTATTTAATAAATTGAACCAGTTTATATAATTGAATATTCATTTTCTAAATTTATCGAAATTTTTCAAAAAAAATTGACAAAAATTTCATAAATATATTTCGAATAAACTCTTTTGCTTTGTCAAATAATTTTTGTTTCCTTATTAATTAGAGAATTCTTGCTAAATTACAGAAAAAGGATAGTAAAAACACGGAAAATGCGCATGCGCAACATTCAAGGAGTGGGAATAGCGTCTCTACCCCCACTCCTGATACATAGACGCGCGCAGATTTTTCTAAAAATCTAACCTCATTAATACTGGTTTTTTTTTCTCACTGGTACTTACTATAAATAGAGAAAGAATAGAAGAAAAGAAATAATAATAATTCATAATTATTATTAATAAATATATAAAGAAATAAATAATTAGCTAAAAAAATAATTTATAAATAAGGAAAAACTAAATAATGAATAAAAAAATGATAAAATGAAAAAGTAAATGAAATGATAAAATAAATTACAAATAAATCTCATTAGTGATAAAAATAGAACTTTTTTTTTCTTTACTTGTAAATCCACATAGAATTCTGTATGCGATCCAAACTTTCTTGTTATATTCTGATATACTTGATATATAGTTTAGAAAAAATGTGTGATATTCAGTTTTAAAATTAAAAATATGATTTGTAATTATTTTTGAAAAAAAATATGGAAAATTTAAATTAGTGACAAACGTGTCTTTTAACTCAATGTGAACTTTATTTGTGTTTTTTCTTTAAAAAAAATACTAATTTAAAATATAAAATTGTCTTAAATTATAAAAAATGAATTTAGTGTAACACAAAAAATGGAGTTTTTCTTTAAATTAACGGTTTCAATTTCAATTTGTTCACTTTTCTCACTAATTTAAAATTTACAAAGAAATAATGATAATTTTTCTAATTTTACTTTTAAGGTGTATATTTAAAATGTACATAGTTAAATTTACCACTTGAAAACTTTTACGTAATTAAAAAAGTATTTTTCACTTATACAATAAATATAATAAATTTTCACTTTCAATTTACTTTTGACAATTATAATTTACTCTATAAAATAAAAGTCATAGTCAAATTTCAATTGAAAGTGCAACTGTAAGTGTCAAAAAAAAGTTCGAAATGAAATTTAAAAAGCAAATATTTAAAAGTTCCCGAGTAGAAGATTTCGCTAAATTAGAAAAATATTAACTGAAATAAAAATTTAAAAAAAATGTAATTTTAACTAATGTACACTTTAACAAAAAAATGTAAATTAATCTTATCAATTACTTGCGAAGGAAAAGTGTCACCGGGAATTGTCCCAGATTTCAGTAATTTCACTATATTAGCAAAATTTTTATTTGTCTTAGTTAACTATTTCGCTAATCTAGAGAAAATTATCGATGTTCCAGGTGAAACATTTTTTACGTGACGCAAAAATTCATTAAATTTACATAAGTATTTATAAAATCATTCATTAATATAAAATAATTAATTTATGTACCTAGTACTTATATATACAATTTTAGCAATAAATAGTTTGTACGCTAAAAATTTTACACAAAAAATAAATGACATTCTTTATTTAATACGATTTTCTTTACTTTTATACGTCATTAATTTTGTTTATTAAATATTTGATTCTATCACTCGGACGTTTTATTATTTTTATTATTATTGTTTTTATTATTCTTATTATTATTGTTATTATTATTTTCATTATTATTGTTACTATTATTTTTATTATTTTGTTATTATTATTTTTTTTATTATTGTTATTACTCTTTTTATCGCTTTTATTATTATTGTTATCAATATTATGATTAATACACATTATTGCTGCAAATTCTTATTGTAATTACTATTTATTTCATTTATTTCAACAATACACTTGTTTGTGACCAAAAAAATAATAATATTAATAAATAATAACAGCAACGATAATAATAATAATTATTAATTATTAATAATAATAGTAGTAGTAGTACCAATAATAATAATAATAATCATTATTATTGTTCTTAATTTCGTAATTATAATTTTACTATTACTCGACTATTAGACAGCTTAAACAAGTTGTGCACTGTTTCAAATGCGCTTACAAACAATTCGAAGTAGTTTCGAGCGTTTTAGACTAGTTTCGGATTGTATTATATTTATTACAATAATAATTAGATTATTGTCATAAAATTACTTCTACATTACTGTTAGATATAATTTAGCAATTTTGAATTGTAGTTTAGATTTTTTTTCAAAATATATTTTAAAAAAAAGAACTTTGAGTAATTTCAAGTTGGTTTAGGCTGATTTTGAAAATAAAGAATTTAGTTGTAAAATTCCACTTTATGTCAAATTTAGAAACTATAAATAAACATAATATTGGTTTTGTTTTTATCCTCGAGCGAATTAATTCGTTTATTTGATATTTGGATTTTTTATTTACTAAAGAAATTATTATTTTAATTAGTCACTAATTAAATTTTATTTAAATTCTCGTTAAATTTCTTAAATCTACAGTTAGATATCTTGTAGACTGAAGGGGAATAACGCAGGTTATGTTTGTTATTTTTTAGTTGAAAGTGTATAAAGTGAAAAAAATTAATCTAAAATTGGCTTAATTTAATCTTTTTTGGTGTCAATCTAAGTTGCAACGCTTTTAAATATATCTATTAGTTTACTGTTTTTAATTTAATTATCGTTAAACATTTATTGCATTCAACTTAGTCAGTAAAAATTATTTTTTATTTAACAAAATTGAAAAAAAATCCTTTACTCAAGATAAGAATATAACAAACATAACCTACAAGATTTTACTTCGCAGTTTGCTTTCTTCCCTACGCGTCACAAATAATTGATAAAAAGTTGATAAATCTTTTCCAAAAAAACGATTCTTTTTAATTATTAGAAAATCTTTACTTCGATTAACAATTTTTTTTTAAAATTAATTACAGAAAACAGAAACGAAGAACCAGGGGTTCGAGAAATCTGCGCGCGCAGCATTCGAGAAGTGGGGTTAGCGTCTCTACCCCCACTCCTCAAACAAAGACGCGCGCAGATTTTTCTAAATTCCTATAACCTCACTACTATACGAGTTCTTATTTTGATAAAATAAATTTATTTTCTAGACTCGTTCACTGTTTAAGTGAAGAAAGAATAAAATACTAATAATTTTCCATGAATTAATATTTCTAAATTTTGCATTTATTTATTTATCTATTAATATTATATGATAATGTTAATAAAAACTTACAAATTATTTTTGTATTTATAAAGAACGATATTAGATATTATATTCGGAGAATATTTTTTATCCTCCAGCTAATTAATTCGTTTATTTAATACTTCGATTTATTTACTAAATTCAACCAATTAATTAAATTAAATATTAATTTACTAAATTTAGAGTTTACCAAAATTTTATAATTACCAAAATAATTACCAAAGAGATATTTAATTAATAATTAATTAAATATTAATTTACCAAATTTTGAATTTACCAATATTTTGTAAATAATGACCAAAAAAAGTAGATAAATCTTTTTCGAATAAACTTTTCTATTTTGTCAAACAATTTTTCTTTCCTATTTAATTATAGAATAAAGATAGTAAAAACTCAGAAAATGCAAACAATTTTTCTATCCTGATTAATTATAGAATTCTTATTGAGTTATAGAAAAAATATAGTAAAACTCGGAAAATCCAAAAACAAAACAGTTTTTGATTAATTATGGAATTCTTACTGATTTATAGGAAAAGGCTAGTAATAACACGGAAAATGCGCATGCGCAACATTCAAGGAGTGGGGATAGCGTCTATACCCCCCACTCCTGACACGTAGGCGCGCGCAAATTTTCTTTTAAGAACCTAACCTCACTGGATTCGTATTTTAATCAAATATTCTATTTTCTCAGTTTTTTTTATCGCAAAACTTGAAAGAAAAAGAAATTGATCATGATTAAAATATATTTCCTCGTAAAGAAAAAAATTTACTCATACCTCTAAATCTATATTTTGTTCTTTCTCTCTCTCTCTCTCTCTCTCTCTCTCTCTCTCTCTCTCTCTCTCTCTTCGGGAGGAATTCTCCTGACTTTTCTTTCGTCCATTTTTTTTTTCATCTTTTATTAGCCGAAACAGACAGTAGTGGTAAATATATTTGAAATATACCATATAAGATATCTTGGCAATAAAAGATCAATCTATACGCGTATTAGCTGTTGAGTAGAAGAAATAAGAAAAGGCAAAAATGAAAAAAAAAAGAAGCAGAAATAAAAAGAGGAAAAAATACTATATTCCGTAAGGAGGAACTATATTCTAGAGAATCGTGAATTGTTGTTCATGGTCATGGGGCAAAATGCGAGGAAGAAGGCGAAAGGGTGGGGGGGTTGGGGTGGTTGAAGGTGGCAAAGAACGAAACTATAAGGCGTTATAGGAAATGTTTTGTAGATTTCAAGATGATGTTAGGAGAAAAGCGTAAAGTTCTTTTCGAATTGAAAGATGCAGGAGAGAAAAAAAAAGAGAGAGAGAGAGTGAGAGCAAAATAGGGATTGGTAATAGTAACATAAAGGGAGGGGGGAATACGGAAAACCTCTGTACACGCGAGGGAAAAGAGAGTAAGTTGGACGATTGAAGGGAAAGGAAAAAGAGATCGAGTCTCAGGTATAGTTATATATATTATATATATATATATGTATATTGTGAAGGGTGGATATTGCCGCGTTTGGTTTCTGAAGCATGTGTGCGCCATAAATAACATGTAAATATTTTCAATAACTGCCGAGGCAGTCTCGGCATGAAAAATGCAAACCGCTTTGCGTCCAGTTTTGCTCGACGCGTTATACTACTGTATCGGCTATATCCAGCACCATCCAATGGTGTACAATTGGCCCTTGGAAAATGTGTCTTTTAATACATATATATATATATACCTATATTTATATCTCTTTCTCTCTCTTCATACCTTGGGAGTCCCATGCAAAAGAAAATTTATGTTCCTCCTCACTAAGTCCAATATTTGTTTCACTTAAGTCGATACGTGTCTTTTTTTATAATCTTATCTTTATTTTTATCTTCTTTTTTTATTTTTCGTATTATTTAGCAATTTTTTGAATTATTTTTGTATTTTTTTAGGGCAACCTAGTCAGTGTTGAAATTATATCGGATCTTGTGAATTTTATTTTTATAACTGTTTTTAAAAAATCAATTCAGGTGGACCCAGAGAAAAGATACATTTCGACTCAGAGACAACTATACTTTTTATTTGTTTCATTTCAAATAAATTTTATTTGGTTTGAATAAAATTTTATTTTTTCTCATATGTTTTATTTATGTTAAATAAAATATTTAAAACAAATAAATAATCTAATTGGCTCTGAGACAAAATATACGTTTATATTTAACTCAAATAAAATATATTTGGTATAAAAAATAAAATTTAAAAAAATTTAAATTTTAAAAATAAAATTTTCTCTGGGTGTATAGTTAAAGGAGGTCTATCCATGACTACAAATACGATTTTTAAATTGTATAACTAGACAAGTTCACAGTATTTTTAAGGACAAAAAGATTAATTGAAAAAAATTTTTTTTTGCTTTTTACGAAAAATGTATTAACATTGTTGCGATGCAAAAGTTTTTATACATTTTTTGTCTCAATTTGATGTAATTAGAAAAACTTTGTTACTCAGACATTTTTGAAGTCGATAATTGAGAATGTTACATCGAATCCTTGAAAAATTTCCGAGTAGTAAATATCAAGCAAGTTCTATTGGTTTTCTAAAAATAGTCGGCCATAGTGGATCCGCCATTTTGAATTTTATAATCTGGGGTCATATTTGTAATCAATGACCACGAAATCCTCAAGTAGAAAATTTCAAGCCATTTCAATTGATTCTGTAAAATTCATCCGCCATATTGGATCCGCCATTTTGAATTTTTTAAATTTGATATCAAATTCGTAATAAGCGACCTCAAAAACTCCCAAGTAGCAAATTTCAAGCGATTTCGATTGATTCTGTAAAATTCATCCGCCATATTGGATCCGCCATTTTGAATTTTAAAAAGCTGATGTCAAATTCGTGATCAGCGACTGAAAAAACCCCAGAATAACAAGTTTCTTAAGAATTTTAAAAATCTGATGTCAAATTTGTAAAAAAAACTATATTTAGGTTTTTATTTATTTAAATTCATTACTCTTCATTACTATTAATTAATTTTTATTTATTTTTAATTCTTATTTAGTTTTAATTATTATTTTTGATTTTTATTCATTATTTCTATTTTTTTGTATTTACTTCTATTAATATTCACCTTTCCATGTGAAAAATAAGAGCGTTTATTGAAATTTTTTTAACCAATTGAAAATTATAATGAATTTCTATTTTTAATAAAAAATACCCTCCTCAATTTTTTATATTTGCTTTCAAAATACAATTTACATTTTAAAAATACAATCAGTTTTTATTTGTTATGCAATAAATTATTCATTAGAATTTAATAAACTGTTTCAATTGCTTATTAAATAAGAAGCATTTTTTATAACAAAATGTTTAAAAATAGGAACTTTTGTTACATTCATAAGACTTTTATTCTGAAGGGAATGAATAAATTTTAATTCAGAAATTTATTGAAATTTACTAAAATTGAATAATTAAAGTTTTTTAAAATAAAAAATGTATTCTTTGTTATTCAAAATATAAAATATTTTTGAATATTTTAACACACGAAATTGCTTCTTTACTTCAGTTATTCGAATTTTCGAAATTCAACTCTTGTGTCTGACTAAACATGCATTCAAAATGAATTTTAAGACTATCAAGAATCAAAATTTGAATCTCGGATTAATATTGGCATCCATTTTTTATAGAATAAAAATTAATTAATTATTATTATTATTATTATTGTTATTCGTTGTTCAATTAACAAAAGTCATTACCTAATTTTATTTTCCCAAATTAAAATTAAATATTCTTTTTTATTAGAAATTACTTTTTACAATTTTAGTAAAAAAAAAAGGAAAAAGGAGAAAAGCAAAGAAAAAAAAGTGAATTAGAGTTTCAAATAGAAATGGAACAAAAATTGTTGAACTAGTAAATTTTGTTAAAATTTTTTTTTTAAACTATTTTTCAACGGAATTAAAATGTCGTTTCGTAAAAATAAATAGATGGGAATTTAATTCTTTATTTTTCGGAATTAAAATATAAATTTGAAAATTCATTCTGTCTAGTGAAAAAATTTATCACATTATTTGAATATAAAATTTTTTTTTTTTTTTTTTGGTTCTTAAAAAGCATTTCTTTTTCAGTAGATTTAGAAATTCCCAAATGAACACTTTGAAACTCTAGCATCCTAAATTTCAGAAAATCTAGTTTATTATAATCCCAATGGTGCACTCTTAGATTATCCAACTTTAATAAAGTTTTCTTTTTTTTAAATTTTTTATTCAACTGTAGCGCATGAATTTCCAAACTATTTTAGTATGAATAGAATTTAATACCTCATTAACAGATTTGCTACTTTCGTTCTAGTCAAGTAGATTTTATAATATAAAAGAAAAAGTGCACATTTTACGAAATATGTCTCCAAAACCAGTAACAATGGTCTTTATATACTTGAAGGGAAAAAAATTTAAAACCACATTTTAAATTATTTTAGTCGTTTAGACTTTTAATGTTAATTTTATTGTCAAGGATTTAATCTGGAATGTATTAGTTCATAACAAAATTGTTATTTTAATTGTTATTAATATAAATTATTTTTATTTATATAAATTCAAGGAGTTATTACTTTTTTATTTTTTTTCTTAATATTTTACTTAGTTTGTAAAAATTACTGTTATGAATAAAACTAATTTTTGTTTCGATATTTCAATACATTTTTATCCATTAAAAATAGAAAATAATATTATTTATTTTATTTCTAATAATATACGGAGAAATTTTGTTAAGAAAAATGTAATTATTAATTTTAAATCTAGTAAATAATAATTAAAAATAAAAGATAAAAACAAAAGTTTTGTTTGTTCGTTATACATACAATGTTTCGAGTTTAGACATTCCAAGTTCGATCAATTGAAAATTATTTTTGAAAATAGAATAAATTTTTCTCAAGGTGAAATCTTATCAGAAATTAAATTTATTTCTAAATGTTGCAGGGGTTTTGGCTTCATCACATTCGCAGATCCTTCGAGCGTAGATAAGGTACTGGCACAAGGCACACACGAACTAGACGGCAAAAAAGTAAGTCCTTTTTTTACTATTATCTCAAAAAAAAAAAAATAGTGAACAAAATTCTTATAATTGTTTTTTATAATTTTGTTAAATAATATTTTGAATATTCTTTTATTGATATTTAAATTTTTTTTGGAAAAATTCATAATATTTCATATTATATTTATAATAACATAATATTTATTATAATTTATAATTATTACAATTATAAATTAAAATTATTATAATAATAATTTTATTTTATTTATTATAATTTTGTAGATAAATAAATATTATATTGTTATATTTCATCAATTTAATGAATTGTTACATTGCTCATTATAATTATGATATTGCGAGTAGTATATTCAAATTCAAAACCTTCTATGCTTGCTATAATCAACATACAACGATTCTGAATATTAATTCTCAGTAACAAGTGCTTGGAAATTTTGAGGGAATTAACTTCGAGTGTGAATACTATTGTTAAGCATAGAATTACAGAAATCTTTAACATAAAGCCGTATTTTCATTGTTGTTAATGCTAATTTTTAATAGGGACTTGAAAAGTAACAAAAATGTACAATAAAAAGTAGTAAACAAAAAAAAATACAAAATTATAAAAAAAATTACAGTAATAATGTTAAATTAATTTACAAAAAAATAGAAAGGTACGATAATGCTTAAATAGGGCTTAAATAAGGCTCAAATATGGCTAAGATTGAACTATAAAAAGACTGAAGAAAAATTAAATTCAAATAGGGCTCAAATAAGGATGAAAAAGGGCTAAAATAAGAGCTCGAATATAATGAAGATTATGTAATAAAATGATGCTAATATTTAGCATTTTTATTTCTTTTATTTATCATTTTATTAAAAATTAATGAAAAGGGCATGTTAATAAAAACTTTTTCCAATAAAAAAAAAAACAATAAAACTGAATAAATTCAATTGTCTCGTGTCAAGTACTTTTTAGTACATGAGTAAATAATATCGAATTTCAAATGCAGTTCCGCGTATAATAAATACAATTCCATAAATGTTTGATTACGTGTCTGACTTAACGTTATGTATACCACACTGACAAAGTTCATTTGAGGAGAGATCGCTTAAAAGAAGAGCGAGAGAGAGACAGAAAATGTGAGTTGCTGTTGATTTTATACACCATTAAGAGTATCGTGTTTCTTCGAAACAGGAAATCAGAAAGGCAAGGCATTAAGATCGTCACTAAAATGAAAGCCTTTTGACCTTCCCTCTACTATCGAAAGACGTTTCAAAGTTTCCTCTCAACAATTGTGACCCAGAATCATATTTCATCTTTATTTTCCTCAATTTAATATCATATCTTTAAATTACTGTTATTTCTAAATATTATTTTCTTTTCTATTTATTTGTTTCATTGGACAAGTTAAAAGAAAGAAGTATAATTTATCGATATAAAGTTTAAAAAATTCACAGTTTTGCTAAGAATGTTAAATTGAGACAAAAAACAGATCAAAATGTTGCTTCGCAACACTTTTGATTCGTTTTTTGTCTCAATTTGATTTACTTTGAAAAATTGGAAATATATTATTTTTTTTTGGTTCAAAAATTGAAATCAGTGGTAAAGACCAAGTTTTAGTCAGACAAAATTTTTTTAATATGAAATTAAGGTTCAAGCTTTAAGTAGTGAATGTAAGTTTATGTCAGACAACAGAAAACTGTCTTAAATATACTTTGACTACTCATGTTGACGGAATTGATAATTTTTGTCTGACTAAAATTTGTATTTACTACTAATTTTACTACTTCTCGGGTAAAAAATAAAAATTTTCTATTTTAAGTCGACAAGACAAGTTTTATGCAGGCATGACAATTTTTGTCCGACTAATATTTGCCTTTACTACTGATTTCACTACTTGCCACGTAGTTTAACTGAAGATAAAAGTTTAATACTAAAAAATTGAAAATTTTTGTTTCAATTGAACAATGTATTAAAAAATGTAAATTTAAGTAGTAAAGGTACATTTTAGTCAGACAAGTCAAAGAAGGCAAATCATTTGAATTTAACATTTCAAGTAGCAGAAATAAAAAAATACTCTAGACATTGTAATCTTGGTGAAAGGAATTTTTTTCTCGGGTAAAATGTTGAAATTATTTAATTTTAAGTAGTCAAGGCAAGTTTTATCCAGACAGGACAATAATTCTTCTCGGTTATTGATAGACAATGTGTTTTATTAACTAAAAATGTAAGAATATAAGAAAAAATAAAATAAAAATATACGTTTTATTATTTTTCATAAAATTTGAATAGTAAAATTACGTTTTAAACAGTAAATTCAGTAGTTGAGTCAAAATTTAGTCAGACAAAAGTTTTTTAATAGAAAATTTAAGGTTAATTTTCAAGTAGTGAACGCAAGTTTATGTCAGTCAGCAGAAAACTTTCTGAAATGTATTTTGAATCCTGAAATTGAGAGAATTCATAATTTTTGGCTTACTAAAATTTCTTTTTACTACTAATTTTACTAGTTACAACGTACTTTTACTGAACAAAAAAGTTTAATACAAAAAAAATTCCAAATATTTATTTCAAGCAGTGAACCTATTAAAAAATGAAATTTTAAGTAGTAAGGGCAAATTTTAGTCAGACAAGTCATTTAAAGCAAGCAGGTCATTAAAATATATTATTTTCAGTATTAGAAGTAAAGTAAGTAATTATTTTATACAATGTAATCAGAGATAGAAGGAATTTTTTTTTGATAAAATGTTAAAAATTCTAAATTTGAAGTAGTTAAGACAAGTTTTAGTCAGACATAACTATTTTTGTCGATACACCATGTAACTGATATTAAATGCTAGTAAAAATAGTAAAACTATTCTAGCCAAAATATTAGTTAAAATTTTAGTAAAATATTAGAATATTAGTTAAAATATTAAAATATTAGTAAAATATTAGAATATTACTTAAAATATTAAAATATTAGTGAAATATTAGAATATTACTTAAAATATTAAAATATTAATAAAATATTAAAATATTTGTTTTATTATTTTTTATTCAATTCCAATAGTAAAAATCCGTTTTGTACCTTAATTTTAGTAGTTAAGTCAAATTTTAGTCAGACAAAAGTATAAAATCAGTTGAGTATGCTAAGAAGTACTTTAAGTTACTATTACTAAATAAATTGATAACTTTGAATAACTGTGTCTGACTGAAACTTATTGTTACTACTGAATAAAATGTTTAAACATAAATAGAACTTCTAATACAAAATTTACTATTAAATATTTTTTGTTTAATTAAAAGAATGCATAAATTGACCGTTTTTATTAAAAAACCAATTCAATTAGTTTTGTCCGTCTAAAATTTGTTTTTTCTACTTATTTTATTAAAAAACATTTGAATGAATAGAAAAACAGTTTTGCCAAAATAATATTTTCTGTCGCTTTTGTTTTTCTTTTTATTTTGTTAAAATCGTGTAAATCAAACTAAACGGATATAATGTACAAGGAAAAAATTAATTAAATCGTTTTTTGTTTTTATTGAAAGATTTTTTTTTTTTTTTTTTTTGAAGCGATAGAATACGGAACATTAACTTGGAAAAAGATGTTAGTTGGAAAGTGCAGTGAGTTCGATAAGAAGTTTCATTTTGTTCGAGACATAATGCGTGATCTAAAGTATCTCTTCGGTTTCTCGTAAGTATACATACGTATATAGAAGACTAGAAGCACGCGCCATTGGGCACGTCGACTTGGTAGAAAGTTTCCTTAATCCCAGCTACTTACAATCGAGAAAGATTCCATGTGTGGTGCCATCGAGTTGAAGAGTAAGTGAGAGAGAGAGAGAGAGAAAGAGCGTTCCTTGAGGATCAAAACGTAAGTTCAAAGTTTTGGATGATAATATCTCCCGCGAAATGAAAAGTCGCTACAACGATAAAGTATATAGACAGCTTCTAAAATATCGACACGTAAACAAGCTGGTGTAAATCAAGCCAAAGCTTTCTTCTCTGATAGAAGAGTTTCAAAATTATACAGAGAGTTATTTTCGATACAATATATTCAGGATGTAGACGAGGATTAAAACTGTTTTTATTCTTCTTCTTCTTCTTTTCTGGAACTTTTCTTCTTTTTCTTTTACCGTAAAACTACGTACTTTTGAAAACGTATATGAGCAAAAGATACGAATAAATAGAAAGAAAAGTGTTTTTATAACGAAATACTCTTTCTTATGCGTTTTGAGATTTGATATCAGTAGAAAAGGAAGAATTTAGTCAGCCAAAATTTTCTAAAAAATATCTATTAAGTTTTACTCTTTCTTTAGAGTTTTAAGTTTTTAAATCAGTAGTGAAGGCAAAATTTAGTCAGCCCAAATTTACTGAAACAAATGAATTAAGTAGTAAAGGTAAATTTTGATCAGACAACTTCAAAAGAGAAAAAACTAACCTAAATGAGCCTATACTACTGAAATTGACAGAATCAGATAATCAACACAATAAAAATGTTAAAATATAGTACAGTTAATTTATGTAGTAATATATTTTAGTCCGACAACAATATAAATTTTACTAATCAAGTATTCGTCAATTATTCTAGTAGTTAATGAGCGTTTTAAATTATTGAAATCAGTAGTAATAGCAAATTTTAGTCAGACAAAAGAAACCACAATTAATCAATTCTAGTAACTAAAGGTCAAAAGTTAATTTCAACAATTAAAAAGGTAACGAATATTATTTTCAAATGGATAAAATATTTAAAAACGCAAAATTCAAGTAGTAGAGGCAAATTTGAGTCAGACATAACTTTAATTTGACAATTGAAGTGTCGAGAGTAAGCTACTGTTTTATTTATTGAATTCCTCATCAGTGGTAAAGGAAGGTTTTAGTCTTATAAAATTTTAATATTTGCTAATCTAAGTAGTAAAGCCAAATTTTAGTCAGACATAATTTTTGTAAATAAAACTCAAAAGTTTATTTTAAAAGTCAAAGGTTTTTATTTTTAATTATTTAGTTTAGTACACAGCATAGAATTAACCGTAAATTTAAATAGTAATG